AGTCAGTCAGTCAGTAGTTTTGAGTCTCTCATCCATGTATATGTATGTATATGTAAATATTCTATTTTGAGACTCGAGTTGCCTTTTTGGCCAGATATGTATCAGTTAAGTTGTTTATGTCTTTGCATGGCATTGAGTTTTCTGTTGAGTCAGGTTTCCGCTGAGTTAAGAAAGCCAGGCCAAGGGTTCGCTTGGGGCCAGCAATGGTCTCCGAGTGCCGGTCCCGCCCAGGGTGTAGGCTCGGGGCGTGACAAAGTCAAACTAACTCATATAAATTAGAATGGAGGGAGTACTTAATATTTTGACCAAAAAAATAGAGTAATTTTACACATTATTTTATTTTATGAAGTTTAAGATAAATAAATGATGAAGACTAACCATAGGAAACAAAGAGCATCACTGCCAAGACCTGAAATGCCATGAAACAAATGGAATGAGCCATAGTCTCTTCGTCTAAACTGAACTTAGTCAGTTTACGCTTTTGGAAAAAGAGTTAGGGTTTTGAGAGAAGAGAAAAGAAGAGGAGAAAGCAGAAGAACGTTCAAGATTCGTCAAGATCGTCGAGTTTGGCTTGTGGATTTCGTCGAGGGTGATCCCTACAAGGTATGTGAGTCTTTCATAGCGTTGGGTTCATTCACCCACACGCCAAGCATGTTTATTTCAGCGAAATTCATCCTAAAATAGTTTGAAAGTTGATGTTCTTGATAGATATTCTTGAATTTGAATGTCGTTCTTGAATTGGACTGAATTGAGGAGTTTCTGAGATCTTTACGTTGAGTTTTAGAGTTGTTTTGAGTTAGGTTCTTGAGTACATATACTAGGTATCTAAATCTAAAATGAATTTGAGAACAATAGTCGAGTTTAGGCAAATTGGGGCTGGAAAACGAAGAAGGAAAAAGTCGGACAAGGAACAGGTTCCAGGTCCGCGTCGCAGACCTGTTCCTTCAGGGTGAAAATTTTCTCTCCACGTCGCGGAGATGACGTGGACTCCTCTGTTTCAAAATTAAATTTCGCGATCAATTATTTAAAAGCATCTCCGCGTCACGGACTTGTTTCAAGACAGTGAGTTCTTGATCGTTTCTCATGTTTAGCTATTTAATATCATTACTAAACATCATGAGATCCTTCCTATCAAAAATCACAATCATTGAATCCATAATTCAATTCAAGGAAAGTTAAGAGTCAAGTCAAGAGAAGTTCATAAAGTTTTCAAAAGTCTTTTACAAATGTTTTAACTTTGTTTTAAGACTTAAGTTTTGAGTTGAGTAAAGAGTAAAGAGTAAAGCTTGAAATTCATTTCTTCAAAAGTATATGGGGACTATGTATTACCCAAAGGGTTTAAAATGTTTTCACATTTAAACAAGAAAGGAAAACTTTGATTTCCAAAGAGCCTTTGAGCTAGTTTTCAGAAAAGAGTAAATGCTTTCATAATTAAGCAAGAGGGGAAACTTTGATTTCCAAGATAGCCTTTGAGCTAAGTTTTGAGCAATTATCTCAAATCACAGAAAGAAGTGTGTTTTAAGCATAAAGAGCTAGTATCATATTTTGGGAGTAGTATTGAGCACTGATATGGGGATGAGCTTGAGTTCAGATAACTCACGTCTCTATAAACCATGAAGCCATCATGGGTAGAAAAGGGTCATACTTTTTAGATGAATCCTTTTCGCATAGAATAGTGGATCCACTTAGTAATTTAGGTCTTATACCCCTGGCAAGGTATAGGATGCGCTGGCAGCGTGAGGGAGATCGTTGTATCATCACAATAGCTCTTATGTGATGGTTGTTGGTTAGAGAAACTCCCACAGCAATACTTTGTATTTTATATACATCAGTTTATTTGTATTTTTACTATACATCTCAGAGTTATTTGTATCTTTGCATACACACAAAGTTGACATCATGTTTTAAACTAGTTTTTCTTTATATTGCACTTGTTTTAAACTGCTTTATATTGAAATGAGTTCAGTTATGTTGAGTTGAGTTGAGCCAAGTAAGTTCTTCAGTTCCTTTTAGATTCTTTTCAAGCCTATGTTGTGTTTAGCATTCCAACTCGCATACTCGTACATTCAATGTACTGATGCCAGTTGGCCTGCATCATGTTATGATGCAGTCACAGGTAACTAGGATCGGCATCCAGCGCATCGTTGATCCAGTGAGCAGTTCAGAGTCTGTTGGTGAGCCTCTTTGCATTCCGGAGGATCCCTTTGTTTACTTTCAGTATTAGATAGTTTATTAGGATGTCGTGGGCCTGTCCCGACATCCATCTCAGTTGTTTTAGAGGCTTCATAGATAGTCAGTCAGATGTTAGTTCATTCGTCATCATTTTGTTATTGACTTATGTGTAGATTTGAGTTGCCATTTCGACTAAGTTAAATGTTTATTTTCAAAATATTATGAGTTCCGTTTGAGACAGTTAAGTTGTTTAGCATTTGAATTCCTTTCTTATTGCATATAGTCTTCCACTGAGTAAGTAAGCCGGGCCAATGGTTCGTTTGGGGCCAGCAATGGTTCTCGAGTGTTAGTCCCTCCCAGGGTGTAGGCTCGGGGCGTGACAATAAAGTGCAGCATGTAATGGAAATACTACAAGAAAAATGTACTAACATACAAATACAAAAACAGTTGAAACAAAGCGAGACTGGTTTCTGTAAAAATATATATACAACGCAAAGTTACGATCAAAGTAAACCACAAAGAAAGTATAAAAAGCCATATCAAAGTAGACAGGAATACAAACCTAAGAGAAAGTACTATTTAAGAAAATCAACTGCAAAGAAACCCTACCTAATAAAGACAGACATGTAAGAAAACATAATAATAACAGAATTTATAAAAACAGACTAGTTTGTTTCACATGCGGAAGTGAAGAACATCTGGCCAATACTTGCCCAGGAAGAAACAACAGTAGGACAAGAAATGCTCAGCTCATAGAAGATTTCCAAGAAACTATGATAAACGTAGACGAATATATGTCAGATAACGAAAGTATATATTCAGTAGTAAGCATAAATACCATAGAAGGAGAAAGACAGGATCCATCAGACTCAGAAGGAGAAACATTAATAGACGAAATAGGATTAGAGAAGCTAGATTTAAATAACTTAAATGACCACACCTTTGTCAATATACAATGTGACCACGAATTTTCCAAAGGAAAAGGTTTAGACAGCCAACGATGTTTTAATTGCACAGGATATCTAAGTAAAGATAGAAGAGAAAAATGCATGAACTGCTACTTAGAAGGATGCATTCGGTGCATTGATAAGATGTTCAAACTTAAAGTCAAAGACAAACAAGTTATCACAAAAGAAAAATCGCTAAAAGCATTAGAAGTTGGATGGATAATTTAGAAGAAAGAATGGGTAAACTAGAAAAAGGGAAAGGAGTAGAAATAGAGGAAACCAGCCAAATTAACAATAAATCGCCCGAACTAGAAATAGAACTCTTAAACAAAAAGGAAGAGGCTACGTCATTTGAAGGATTAATTTGCAACGAAGATAAAAAAATTAATACAATAAAAATCTTGACTAGAATAAAAATTCAAGACTATGAGATAGAAACCCTCGCTCTAGTAGAATCAGGATGTACAAAGAGTATAATAAATAGATGCATTTTGCCCCCAGAAGTAATAAAAGATTTCCCATAGCCACAAAGCGCCATGCAAATGGACGGATCCTCTAATATATATGAGCATTACGTTAGTGATGCAAAAATAAGTTTTCTAAACACTTGTGCAGACTTCTATAAACCTACCTATAAGTTAGAAAAAATCTGGGTAAGAGATCTAAATATTAGAGTAGACTTTGTTTTAGGATTAGATTTCTTACTACATAATAATGAAAGTTGAATACTTACAAGAGATGGAATAATATTCTCAAAAAACACTACTCAAACCACAATAACAACCGAATCTATTCCAACAAAATCTAGATATCTTACAAAAACTAGTGAACTTAGCACAAATACTCAAAAACGTGCGACAAAGGAGAAGAATGCACTTGTACCAAGGTACATATTACAAAGGAGAAGGCAGAAATTGAACTATTATAACTTAGCGTTTCAGATACAGAAGATGTGGAAAAGAATTACACCTTAATAGAAATAAATACAGAGCTTTACAACTTTAAAAAGGGATTACAACAAATAGGAGTAATAAAGAATCAAAAGGATCTAGAAGAAGTAATTCTAATTCTAGATAAACTAGAAATAATTGGAGAAAGACCCTTGAAACACTGGGACGCCAATCACATAACCTGCAAACTAGACATAATTAATCCAGAATACACGGTAAAAACAACCTCTATAGAATCAACAAGTGAAGACCTGAACGAATTCAAGGATCAAATAAGGGAGTTACTAGAAATAGGAGTAATCAGAAGTTCAACATCAAAGCATAAATCAGCAGCATTCATGGTAAGAAATCATAGTGAAATAGTAAAGGGAAAAGCAAGAATGATTATAAATTACAAAAGACTCAATGATAACACCCGAATGGACGGATATAAGCTACCAGATAAAACAGAGCTACTAAATAGAATTCAAGGAAGAATGATTTTTAGTAAATTCGATTGTAAGTCCGGATACTGGCAAGTAAAAATGCATGAAGATAGTATAAAATGGACTGCTTTCACATGTCCAGAAGGACACTTCGAATGGCTAGTAATGCCTTTCGGACTAAAAACATCCCCCCGAATCTTTCAAAGGAAAATGGATAATATTTTCAGAGATTATAAAAACTTTATTCTTGTATACGTAGACGATATTTTAGTATTTAGCAACAATATTAAAGAACATTTAGGTCACTTACAGACAGTCTTTAAGCTATTTGTAGACAACGGTATCATAATTAGTAGCAAAAAATGGATTTATGTAAAAACCTCATAAATTTTCTAGGAGTAGAAATTGGAAATGTAAAAATTAAATTACAACCTCACATAGCAAAAAAAAGTCCTAGAGATGCAAGATAAATTAGGCAAGACTAAAGATTTACAAAAATTTCTAGGGATTTTAAATTATGCAAGGAACTTTATAAAAGACTTAAGAAAAATAGCAAAACCCCTATATTCAAAAACAGGGACTAATGGACAAAAGACATTCAACACAAAAGATATAAAGTTAGTACAAAAACTCAAACATATGGTTAGAACCATACCAGACTTCTCCCTCCCTTTAGAAACTAACTATCCAATAGTCAAAACGGACGGAAGTCTAGAAGGGTGGGGAACAACACTTAAAACAAAGAAAAATAAGTACGGAGACAAAAGGGAGGAAAGAATCTGCGCCTACCAAAGAGGAAAATATAAAGAAAAAGGAAACATGAGTAGTATAGACGCAGAAATATTAGCGGTAATCTACGGCCTAAATAGTTTTAAACTATATATTATCAATAAAAAGGAAATTTTAGTAAGAACTGATTGCGAAGCTATCGTAAAATTTCATCAAAAG